TGTTGACTTCAATCGCAGATATTCCAGGTGAATACTTTGGAGGGAGGCAAGGTAGAAAACAAGGAGGAAGAAAGCGCGAAGCAAAGAAAGAAAAGAGGAAATACATAAACTAGCAGTTACTATCGCAAGGAGAGTGCTGCGGTGGCGTAGTCGCGTAAGAGCAAGCGTCTCTCACCTCTGAGATCGTGGGCAGTGCCGTAGCTAACATGTATAGTTGGGGGGGTGTAGGCCAAAAATTTCCGAATGACGAAGAAAATTTCCGAATATTTCATGGCATACGAAGCTGGCATATGAAGATGCAATTCAGGGCACCTCTATAGAGGAAAATTTTTTTTCAATCGAAAATTTTGGGCGCCCCCCGTCGCCAAAACAATTTCGATCAGTGTACCATTTTAAGGGTCAAAAATTTTTTCCGGACATACCAAAAGTCAAATATTAGCTATAAATTGCCTGAATCTCATGATTTTCGTACAAAAAGCATATGCTATTATTGCCGTAATTTTCCGAATGGCCAACCCGATTTTCCGAATATGTTAATTCTACAAAAGTTGGGGGGGTTAACCACCCCCCAATACCCCCCCTCGCTACGGCCCTGATCGTGGGTTTGATTCTCACTACGGACTCATGTGAAAAGAGTCAGTCAACGCACTGCCGAGAGTCGTGGGTTTGCTCTGGGTGCTCTGGTTTCCTCCCACAGGGAAAGTTGACCGGGTGGGTTAGGATAAACACAGTTAAGAAAGTAATACCACAATGGACCATTCCCATGCAATTAACCAAAATTTTGATCTCAACAAGTCTAGACAAAATTCCATCATAGCATGAAAGAGCATCACAAAATTAGTAATATTCCAAAGTTTCGTTGCGAAATGTTGTAAAATGCGGATAATATAGCCTTGCGAAATTTGCAATTTTCAGCATTTTGTATTACGCACAGTAACCATTTCCCGTCTGTAATCTAAAATGACTGAAAATTGCAAACTTCGCAAGGCTATATTATCCGCATTTTACAACATTTTGCAACGAAACTTTGGAATATTACTATAAATTTTGTGATGCTCTTTCAAGCTGTGATGAAATTTTTGTCTAGACTTGTTGAGTTCAAAATTTTGGTTAATTGGGGAATGGTCTATTGTTGTAAAGATAAAATAGTCTAGGCTAAGTAAGTAATTAGGTAAGCGTAATACTTGATGTAAACCGCATTTGATCATACCCACATGGAAATTTGTGCACACATTGCGCTATTTTATGTTAAACTTTAGAGTCAATGGACATTTGCATTATAGACTGAATTTTGATCTGGACAAAAATTTCATCACAGCTTGAAAGAGCATCACAAAATTAGTAATATTCCAAAGTTTCGTTGCGAAATGTTGTAAAATGCGGATAATATAGCCATGCGAAGTTTGCCGTTTTTCAGTCATTTTGTATTACGCACGGGAAATTGACAGCCCAATCGGGTGTTGGGGCATCAATTTCCGTTTGTAATACAAAATGACTGAAAATTGCAAATTTCGCAAGGCTATATTATCCGCATTTTACAAC